TTTAAAAAAATATATAGATACAACTTATGTTCAAAAGTAATCTAGGATAAAAATGTTAAATAAAATTTCAAACATCTAACTGGCTAGAACTAAAATGCTGTAAATAAAATCATAAAACCAAAAACAACCTGACTACGTAAAAAAACAATCTAAAAAGATGGAAAGAAGTTGACGATGGAACACAGTATTATGCAGTCGGAGGCATACCTACACGTTTCAGCCTCGAAGCAAGTATAAAATATGTATGTAATTTTTTTATTGCATATCCTTAATTGCAACCTTATCAAATGGAGCACCCATATTCAATAACATTTAGGTATTTTAAATGAAAACCGGTATTTGTTTTCAGGGCAAGGTTAAGCAGTTTCGGTTTTTATTTAACACTAGCATTGCTCGCGGCTCCGCCCGCGTTCAGATGACCAAAAACCAAATTCTTAGGTTTTACATATTAGTATACTCTTACAATTCAGTTTTTGTATTTTTTCTCAGAAATGAGATATTTCTCCGCGGTAAAAAGTATCCTATATATACCCGGATAACCAGCTATGATCATACCAAATTTCATCAAAATCTGTCCAGTGGTTTTCTCGTGATGCGGTAACAGACAGACAGACAGACAAAAATTCTAAAAACTATAGTTTCGGACTCTGTATCGATAATAATGTCTATTTCAATTAGATTTTCCAAAGAATATTTAATGTACAGATTCCACTTAGTTACAATTTTATTATATGTATAGACAAGGGTTTACCCTCGCTTCGCTCGGGTGCGTTCCTAGGTGCCTATCAGTATCCTATGTGCCACTTACTATAGGTCATATCTGTGTAGTGAGTACACATTTTCATTCAAATCCGTCCATTCATATCATCGTGAATGAATCACAATCATCTATACTAATATTATAAAGAGGTAAAGTTTGTGAGTTTGTGACGTTGTAGGGTGTAATCTCTGGATTTACTGAATGATTTAAATGAAATTTGGTAAGAACATACCTTAAAACCCTGGGAAGGAGATAGGCTATTTTTTATCCCGGAAATCATCCCTTAAAGGTGTAAAAATAGGGATGAAAGTTCGTATTGGAAAGAAATTGAAAAGTATAAAGTATCCTATATGTTGACCCGGATAACCAGCTATCATCATACCAAATTTCATCAAAATCTGTCCAGTGGTTTCATCATGATGCGATCACAGACAGACAGATAAAAATTCTAAAAAAAATATTTAATATATACTTCGGTAATTTTTTTATTATATGTATACTTAGATGAGAATCATTTAGTTCAGAATCAGTCTAAAGTGCTATCTACGTGTCGTTACTGATGTAATGACTCGAGACCAATGACTATACTAATAGAGGTCATGGCCACTGTAATGTGGCCGTTCAATTTAATTCATATTTTAATCAACGTCCTTCTATCTGCATACATTCATTAATACAATAATTTAATCAAATTCAGTACAGCACCATCTATTATTTTTTTACGCCATACAGGAAATCATATTGTGTAAATATTATTATTTTTACATTTAACTTGCAATATTTGTTTGTATGTTCGAGTAAAATTTTTTAACTGAATTTCAAAGCAGTTATCCTCAACGGATTGAGCTGAAATTTTGTATACACGTTTAGTTTAGATGACAATGCGTGGTTAAGTAAGTGACGTCATTCTAAATCCAAAATGGCGGACTCCCAATGATGGCGGAATATGTTTTTTTATGCACCCCCATGGTATTGATATTAAATGGAAGGGTTTGCTGAGATGAATACTAAATAAATGCATAAAAAATAAATTTTAAATTTAGTCAAACCCATTTTATTACATTACAAAATTTATCTATAGGTACATATAATAAAATTATAACTAAGCCGAATCTGTACATTAAATATTTTTTTGGAAAAATCTTATTGAAATAAACATTATTATCGATACAGAGGCCGAATCTATAGTTTTTAAAATTTTTGTCTGTCTGTCTGTTTGTCTGTTACCGCATCACAGAAAAACCACTGGGGGGATTTTGATATAATTTGGTTGTTTCTTAACCCCCCAAAAACTACGGGGTGTTTTAAGTTTGTCGTGTCTGTGTGTGTGTTTGAGCCATGAACGGACGAACCAATTTTGATTTTGATTTTTTTTTGTTTGAAAGGTGAATTAGTCGGGAGTATGTTTGATGAAAATCGGCCCAAGATGGTCGGGGTTTTTGAAATGTTTAATTTATCATATTGAATTTGACATCCACCTAAATTCCACTTTTGTTAGCGAAGCCGTTATTATCCTATTACTCATCTTGCAAATTCTTTCACTATATGTGCTTTCTTTCACATTTTTTTAGTCAGATTTGAATCTTCAGCACAAATATATATTGATCTGGTCTTTCGAATATAATTAAAATGTTTTTATTAGCTTCCTCGTCATTGGAGAGGGATCTTTACTTATTCACTAAAATGACTAGAGGAGCCCTTTTGTCTGTCGGGTAGTTCGTTGGTAGATTCCATAGGTATTTCTAAAATTTTCATGAATAAAAGTGCAACGTTTGCTCTTTACAATGAGTTTGTTAGGCTATTGTTACATAAAATTTTAGATATATCATTTGACCAATTATCTATACTAATATTATAAAGAGGCAGCGATTGTTTGTTTGAACGCCCTAATCTCAGGAACTATCGGAATAACTAATCAGATTAACGATTTGAAAAAATCTTTTTATATTAGCTAATATATTTGGAAATCATATCAAAAAATATTACATACATTTTGCTCTAAATAATTCAAATCGAGTACGGAGTGTCTGTTTGTTTCCTCGTTCAAAATGAATAACAAAGACCCTTATTACATCAAAAATTATCATTAGTATTGCATTCTGAACAATTCTGACATTATCGGTTACCCTCTGCCCTCTCACTGTCCATAATAACCAATTCTCACCAGACCGACTAATAATAGCTCGTTATGGAAAACTACAGAGATAATAAGAGCATTCGGTTATTAGGTCTTCCTTTATCTTATCGTTTCAAGCGCAGTATTTATTTTTATGTACAAATCAAGTTTTTGCATGACTTTTTGTTTGTGGGTAGATGACGATTTGCTTTATGTCGATTTGCGTCTTAGGTTTGCTATCGCACATGTTTAGTGCTTAGAGAGCGTTAGTTATTTACGTATTATTTTATTCAGGGCTTCAGAACTTCAGCGTTTGGTTCAGATTTTTAATATTAGGCTTGTATATTCTTCATATTCATCCAATTTTTTTCGAGATTCTAGTTACTAAATTTTCTAATAATAAACCTTGTAAGATATAATTTTGTATATATATATATATATATATATATATATATATTATTATACATACAAAGTACTTACCAGTCAAAAGCTATGGAAAAATGCAAGAGAAAATAAAGTTCGAGGAGCTATATAATATGATTTATCATATTTATTTTTATAATGACTCTTTTTTTTTAATCATAATTTCATTCAACGTAAGGAAAATAACTCTATAAATAAAGTCTATTCACGTCCAGATCGATCCAGAATTGAATGATAATGGTAGCAACGTATTACACGTCGTGTCAATAACAAATATATTAACACTGATAACATAAGAACTATTTTTCTCAAGAATTTCCGTACGATAAGAAGAAAGCAAATAAAATATAAATGTCTTTTCGTGATATGATTTGTTTAAAACTAAATTAGCTAATGGTTTTATTTGTAGGGTCGTCTATGTTTGTGGATGGATAGTGCAATGCACCATGTTAAGTATAAGCAAGTGCTTATTTTTAAAATATTTCATACGTATTTTGCTAGTCTTGGAACAAGTTACTTTCGTTACTATTTGGTAGAAATATATTAGGAAGTATAAAGTAATAGTGTCTGACCCTGGCTGCCTCCTACCTGCCTCCCTGGCAAAAATTATTAGAAAAAAGTAGTCTAAATGTTACTCCAGGTCATAGTCAGTCTAGGAGTGTTGTAGTGTGTGCGACACTGCGACGACGGGTTCCGCTGTGGGTTTTAGTGAGTAGGAGTCTCTCACAGTACCCTGCTTATTGACGGCCGGCACCCCATGATGGGTTTCCCTAGCGTTATCAAAAAAAAAATGTCATAGTCAGTCTGTCTATCCTTTATTGCGTTCATCTTGTCGTGGTGGCCGGTGGTTCAGCCAGGCGCGAAGTCTAGAAACGCACTGGAAGGCCGCTCACTTCGGTGGGTGGTGTACCATGCTGCTTATTCCTGCTACTTCTCTGATAGCAGAGTAGACTGTTGGGGTAACCTCATGGTTTTAGTGGTCTACTTCGGCAGACCTGCCGTCAAGGCCTCGTGGTTGAGTGCGTAAACGACCCTGCGATCCCCAGACGGGGAACGGGCAACGGCTCCCCCGTTGTTGGGTTTTGTTGGGTTTTTGTGAGTAGTACTGGCTTTTCCAGTTGGTGAGTCCCACATAATCACCGGCATTCCCTAACATTAAAAAAAGAAGGCCATAGTCTTATCTGTGTACTAATATTTTGCCAAATCCGTCCAGCTGTTTTAGCGTGAAGTAGGAACAAACATAGGTACTAAAAGTGCATTCATAATAGTTAGCAGAGAAATGGTACTAAGAATGAACAATGGCAAATTACGTTTATTTGTGAGCATCGAGGAAAATTTACATAAAATATCAATATTTAAATATAACAAAAAAAGTATAAAAAAGGCGAATCTATTAAAGTTTATATTTATCCATTTGTACATACATATTATGAGAAGGTCAAAACAGAGTAATATTGTTTAAGATAACATTTGCGAAGGTGATTATATTATGCTTTCAAGGCTGGTTTTTATAAAGAAATAGCTATCTATGTAATATACATATCTATTTTTGTGACCCAATTTTTGGTTAAGGTATCGAATATAAGAAATTTTGTAAGACGAAACAAGTGTATCATTTGTGTAGAAATACAGTATTTTTCATATAAATTTAACTATCTATTATGACATTCTAAGAAAATGATTTGCAATCTTTGGTTCCAGGTCTTCGTCAGAGTAAAGAATTATGTGAACGGGTGTCTGGTCTGTCGAGACGGCAGCATGGTTCGACCGAGCCTCGATTGAAAATGCAGAAGTGCCTCATCGTATCCAAAGTAACACGATATGAATATGAAAAGTAAGTAGTAATTTATGAACTATTTTATTAATTACAGATGAAAAAAATATATGATTTTGGTAAAAGTTTTTGAGGTTAGGTAAAAGCTAAATACGCACACACAACCCAGAAGAGGTGATATAACACCATACCTGAAAATAACACGTAAAGCCATTCCTCTTAAATTGTTTTTGTATATATATATTTGTTTTTTTTTTGTTTTTTAGTTCAAGAACTCATACAAAATATCTTCGATAAAAAAGAGATTTCTTAAAAAACAATTATTGTTAAATAAAATTATCTTTTCGGATTATTTCGCGGATTTATTTTGATTTTTGGTTCCCGACGTTTCGAATGCTTTACAGCAATCATGATCACGGGAGAGATCCGCGAAATAATCCGAAAAGATTTTTTTTGTATACTTTACAAAAGGTTGTAATATGTAATAATTAATATAAAATAATATATAATAATAATTAATTCATTTAAAAAGTTCTTGACCATTTTGATTTCAGACAAACCATATTATAGACCATCGATTTTTTTTGACCATTTAGACATACCATATTTCAGACCATCTAAATGTCTTAACCATTTTGATTTTAGACATAGTCACGACAACATACCAGATGCAGATCTGGAAAAAATACTACGGCAAAGGGGATCAGATTATGATTCTATGATCAGTATTCATAGAGAGCAGAAGGCGTTTGAGGAAAATGTGGCGAAGAATTTAAAGGATATGGGGTTGCAGGTGGAGATGGCTAGTAGGTAAGATCATTTGTCTTAATTTGCAATTTTTGGTTTAACTAGGAGTCTAGTTTATATTTTATTAAAGTACGACAATAATTAGGTTACAGTTGCACGGTTAAGGTCTAAAAGATTCTATTTAAAAAAATCTATTTGGTATTAAATAATATTACTTTTTTTTTAAATATAAAAGTAAACTGAAAAGAAAAAACTAATGTGGTTACTCTTAAATGTTTTTATTCAGAAACGTGATGAAATAAAAATTAATATAATATGGCCAAATAAGTTAATGTTCGCCTGAACAGTTTCCATATACACTCAAATTAGTTTGCTATGTTTTTTTTGCGGAAAAGATATAAAAATTGCATTTTTTTTTCAGAAAAAAAAACATCTTATATAGATTATTATGACATTAATTAATAACCTTTTTTTTTAACCTTGCGAAATGCATTTACGCACGAGGTGTAGGACTCACTGGCAAAGCCAGTACTACCCACTAAAACACAACAAAACCTTCCCCCGTCTTAATGAGGCGTCGTAGGATCGCTTACGCATTCAACTACGACACCCCGACGGCGGGTCTGCCGAAGCAGACCACAACAACCACGGGGTTGCTCCAAGGTCCACTCTGCTATCAGAGAAGTACCAGGAGCAACCCGCATGGTACACCGCCCACCGAGGTGGGTCACCTCCCTGTGCGTTTACGCCTTCGCGTCCGGCTGGATTGCCGGGCATTAATGTATAACCTAACAGAGTATGAAGTAATTGTTTTTAATTAATACGTTGGAAAGTCAATCAAAATATTTTTGTTTGTAATGTTTTATGAGTAGAACATTATTTAAAAAGTAGAAAAATAAAACTATTACGACGTAAATAAAAAAATATGCCAAATGAGATTAAGGCTATTATAATTTCAAGGATGGCCTTTGAGGAGATAACGTGGACTCGCAAATATTATTAAAAACATACGCTTTGTAATAAAAACATTGGCAATTCACTGAAGTAATCTAACACAGCCCGCGTTAGGTATTTGTTGTTTTTTTAAATATTAGTAACATATATGGTGTGAAAATTTTGGACTGAATTTGTTGGACATTTTTATTTTTTTCGGTACCGTAGCCAAAATGCGAAAATTGGATTCTTATAAATCAAAACACTTTTAAATAAAAGTCATTGTAAAAATCTATTTGAATAAAGTTTAATTTTCTAAATTTTTGCAGATATTTTACTCGATGTTTTTACTAACTGTGTATCGATTTTCATAATAGTTTTTAATGAATATGTTTTTAAATAAATCTCAATGTCCTATATAAATGTTAAAAAAGTCCACCTCGTGGGGTGGATAGGCATGCATGTCTGAGAGAACCTAGCAAGTTTTCAAAAAACATGTGAAGTCCGCCCACACTTGACCAGCGTGGTGGACTACGGCCTAATCTCTAAATCTATTGGGAGGCCCGTGCCCAGCAGGGGGACATTAAAAAGGGCGGGCTACATACATATAAACACAGATGTCGTTGTGCCCTTTCCATAAAAAGTAATTATTATTTAATCGATACGTAATCATATATATCGAGGTTACTGGTGGCTTAGTAAAGTATGTTCTAAAATCTAAGCTACCTTTAAGCCTTTAGTAGGAAATGCATGTCGATTATGTTTAATTTATTTTATGACCTAACATTATATTTATTATTTTTTATTTACATAACATTTTATTCCATAATGATAGTAATAAATTATGTGAGGGATTGTTGTCTCAACAGACAATTTGCGTGTTATTTATAGTGCTTGATGAGAACAAATACTTGTTTTTTATAATAGCAATTTGCGAATATCATCTATAATTATATTTATATATAGTAGTGATGTAACAAATGTAAATTTATAGACATTCGCGAATGCGAATATCTGCCGCCGATATTTGCTAATGCGAATGCGAATTTTCAGTTTTTCTGACGTGTAAATCTCATTTCTCATTCAATGTAATATAATTCTCATTTGTAAACGTTAATTTGTTGTTTGTAGTTGTAAATGTAAAAATGTAAGTCTCATTTGTCTTTTTGTCAACTTTAACAGCTAACTGACCGCGCGATTCGCAAGCACGCCATTGCAAGGGCCGCGCCGACCTTCATTGACGCCTGTGTGCGAAATCTTGTGCCTCTTTTTTGCCTTCATGTTTTGTTTTGCATCAAAAAATATTTTTTTTTTACTAATTTTTTATAGTATTTTGGTAAATAGATAAAAAAACAGTTCGTTTCCGCTTGCCAATTATTGCGAAAAATGAAATGCGAATCAAATTATTTACATTTAATTTTTACTTTTAGATTATCTTTATTAAGCCTCGATCAGCCACAAGTGTTTTGTGGACATACTTTCACGTTCTATTACGTATATATCCTAAAGTTTTTATTTCTGTGAAAAACAATTTAATCTAATATATCCCTTTTTATGAATCGAATCGTGTGCTTAAAATATTTGTGACCTAAATATTTAATATTTATTATAATCACAATAGCATTTTGTTACACTTGAATGCGAAGGTTCGTTGCTGGTTCAGATTTATTTAGAACTAGTATTGCCCGCGGCTCCGCCCGCGTTCACATGACCAAAAACCAAATTCTTAGATTTACACATGAGTATACTTTGCAGTTTGTGTATTTTTTTTCAGAAATGAGATATTTTCCCGCGGTAAAAAGTATCCTATATGTTGCCCCGGATAACCAGCTATCACCATACCAAATTTCATCAAAATCCCTCCAGTGGTTTTTCTGTGATGCGGTAACAGACAGACAAACAGACAGACAAAAATTTTAAAAACTATAGATTCGGCCTCTGTATCCATAATAAAGTCTATTTCAATAAGATTTTCTAAAAAATATTTAATGTACAGATTCGGCTTAGTTACAATTTTATTATACATATGTATAGAATATACTGAAGCGTGTACTTCAACACATTCAACTTACAACAAACACAACTTATTAATATTACAATCATGGTTTTTGTACTTGTGACTTGTTATTTGGGGCCAGCGATAAGATATTTTATTTATAAAACAGACGTGCTTGCATTTGTCTTTATTATTAGTAATGGCTAAATAGAGTTTAAGAAAAGATTGATGTTTTTATTTGTAATTAAAAAAATTAAAAAAACTAATTAAAAAAAGTTTAAGTGAAAAATTAAGTTTTTGTTTGCTTATTACAATATTTTGTTTCATAAAAAAGATGGTTAATGTCGTGAACTTGAAGTCTGATATATTTACTGATATATTTTGCTAATGCGAATGTCAAGAAACATGCGAATATTTGCGAATGCGGATGCGAATGCGAAGATTCGTTACATCATTAATATATAGTACTAGCATTGCCCGCGGCTCCGCCCGCGTTCAGATGACGAAAAACCGAATCCTTAGGTTTTACATATTAGTATACTCTTACATTGCAGTTTTTGTATTTTTTCTGAGAAATGAGATATTTTCCCGCGGTAAAAAGTATCCTATATGTCGCACCCAAGCGAAGCGATGGTAAGACGTTAGTTATGCGTCTTAGGTGTAAATTTTTTTACTAACAGTAAGTAATTCTATTTGCTACTCCAGGTCATAATCTATCTTTTTACTAAATTTCATCTTAATCGGTCCAGCCGTTATATTGTGAAAAACAAAAATACACACACACACACACACATATATATATATATATATATATATATATATATATATATATATTTACGCATTTATAATAGAAGGTTTAGTAAGTTAAATAATAGCTAGCATGTACAGCTGCACATCCGGAGCCTCTGGGTTCGACTTCCGGGTTGGGACAAGTTTAGTTATTGAGTCTTTCTGTTAAGGAAGTCCCAGTAACAGCCCGAAGTTGGGAAGTTGCGGGGGTTTCATCCCCGGAGGGCACGTAAAGCCTTCGGTTTTGTGCCTGAACCCAACAAATTTTGAGAGTGACAGGAATAGAGAGTGCACTTGTGTCTGAGCGCACAGTTGTGCACTATAATATCTCTTAGCACAACTGGCTAGTCTCAGTGAGATTGGCCGCCGTGACCAATCGTTCAGGAGGACATCATCAAGACACATAATATAGATTATAATTATTTGTTACAGATTGACATACAACGATGAGTTAATAAATTGGTGCGATATAGTGGTCCCGTGCGGAGGCGATGGTACATTTCTTTTGGCAGCTTCAAGAGTCAGAGATGCAAAGTAAGATTTTACACTCTTGATATCTTAGTTTGTGATATATGGGATATTTTCCATTTCACGTTTTCGGTCGTTATTTTGTTTCTCATAGTAATAATACTTTCTCAGATTTACGCGAATATTTGACTTTTTAAATGAGAGAGAGAAAAAGTGAGAAAGAGAAAGAGAGAGGATTTGAATCGTAAGAAATTAAGTACATATATTGAAACATACACCCTCTGTAAGGAAGTCAGATTCGCACCGCACCACATTGCCCCTTTTCAACCGACTTCCTCAAAAACGAGTAGGCTCTCAAGTCGGCTGTATGTTTTTTTATGTTTGTTACTTCAGAACTCCGTCATTTATTAACCGATTTGGACAATTTTTGTTTTGTTTGAAAGAGTATACTCGTACTTCCTTTATTTTCGAAGTCGGTGCCAGCCGATACAAAGCAAAGCACACCGACTTCGAAAGTATTTGATTAGGTATGTATAATAAACGAAAACTACCAATCAGTTATTTTTTAATTTTTAGTGCTTTTTTGAAGTCGGTTTTTTTTGTTATATGTTTTTATTTAAATCTTAGTTTCAGTAACATTAGTGTATTCCATTATGTCACTCAAATGTATTGGATCTTCATAACCAACTTCAAAAAAGAAGTAGAAAAAACGTCTGAGCCGATTTAATTCATTCCTTTTTAATGCACAGACAACAAAAAATAATACACCCGATTTAATACACAAAATATGAACAAATTCATATAAAATTAAACAGGAAGGTCCTTTTTTTTTAAAAAAATATTATGTATGTAAAAATAGGCAATTACAGAACAGTTCAGTATCTTTTTCACCTCTCTTGTCAATCTATTTTTTGTTTTGTGTCATTGCAAAAAAAAAATTGGTGGGAATTCGCCAACTGGGCAGCAGCACTAGCACTAGTTTTTATAAATGTACTTTTTTTTACAGTAAGCCCGTGATAGGATTCAATAGCGCACCGCACAAATCTGTAGGCCGCCTGTGCTTACCTACATGGTGTTCTAATGATGTCAAGGGTGCGTTTCAGGCATTAAAGGAGGTATGTTATGACATTTACTAGCTTTTGCAAGTGAATTTGCTCGCGTAGTTTATATTTATGTATAAATATCGATGTCCCGATTCGTCTTGATAACACGAGTATTACGTATGAATATTACACATATATGAATATTATGAAAATTCATAATGGCAGAGCTCAGGTGCCAACTTTTGTGTCTTTAAAAATATTCTTCCAAGCCTATCGAGTAGTGTATCAAAATAAAGGTTCTTATTAGTGAAAATGTAATTTTATAATATCATAATATAATTTTAGGGCAGATTCACATGGATGAGAAGGTCAAGGATAAGGACTACAGTCACAAGTGAGCCTAAACTATTGGAGACTATCACACCAGTTGACCTACACACATTACATTATTGCAGGTAATATTGTTTTTATTTTTTATTTTTTTATTAAGGCTGTATTTAAATTAAAAAAAAAACGTAAATATATTTTATTAGTTCGATGCGGATAGGTATTAGCTTCTATGTAATATATATATAAAATTAATTGATAATTAATTAAGTGGCAAAAATCAAAAACCATGAAATCGTTTATTTGCTTTAAAGCACATACAAACTGATAAGTAGAATGCAAAATCTATGTTGGTAATAAATGATCTTAATTCCTAACAACATTTCCTTAAAAAAGATAAAGTAAAGGTAAGATAAAAATTAAAAAAAGAGAAGAAAGGAACGTGTGTGTGTACATAAGTACACACACACGTTGTGACCATGGCACTAGTACTTATGTACCGCACGTAAAAAGTTATTGTATTTATATATTTATTTTTATATTTCTTTGGCATAACAGAACAAAAATAGCTAAGATTTCATCCCGTATGTCACAACTCTCTGTTTGTAAAAGGAATGCAGCTAGCTTCATCATGTCGCTTATTGGCTGTCGGGGTGCGCGCGCATCGTAAAAATTTTGCTCTAATTTTTCCCAAAAATTCCAAAACAAGTATAACTTCAAGAAACATTTATTTTGTCTATACATAAATGAAAATATATAGTGGAAATATAATTCACAAAAATATTCATATATTTGCAGATACCCACCAGTATTGAATCCATTGGACAGTATAGAAATAAAAAACACAAATTTCACTTCAGACGACTCCAATAAAAATCTGGCAACAAAAGTTCTACCATTTTTGGCATTAAATGAGGTAATCTATCGTCTTATTTAAATTATATAAATAATAATAAATATGTTGGACTTTTAACACACAGCATCATCTAGTTCCATTGTATGTTACGAGGCCCGTGTTATGGATACCAGATAATTGACACACTATACGTATATAATTTTAAATACATACATATTATAAATATTGTGCTCATCACACAAATGAATGTCCCCAGCGGGACTCGAACCCGTGACCGCTGGCACAGCAGGTAGTGTCACTACAAACTGAGCCACGTGTTGTCGAATATATAATATTAACGACTCACCCTCGCTTCGCTCGTCCCTAGCTTGCTTCCCTATACAAACTTTCATCCCCGTTTTCACCCCCTTGAGAAGTGATTTCCAGGATAAAAAGTATCCTATGTCCTTTCCAGGGTCTCAAACTATCTTCTTACCAAATTTTATCTAAATCGGTTCAGTAGATCCGGAGATTACCCCCTACAACCTCACAAACTCACAAATTTTACCTCTTTATAATATTAGTATTAATCATACTAGTTTGTTTAATGGAAAGTAGCTTATATCTTAGGGATTTGGCAAAATGTCGCCTTAGTGTTTATTTGATCATGCCACCAATACTTGTTGTACTTTACTGCTAGAGAGATTTTTCTCGTGTACGTTTCTTACTTATGAATGAATTTACCGGTTTATTTCGGGATCAAAACCGAAATCCAATCTTTCTCTAAGAATAACCGTTAACCATTATTACTTCGGTTCATTGAACCGTTCGTTTTTATTAACCGGTTAATGAAAGAGCGATGAGTTAACCATTGCATTACAAACATTTGCCGGTTTTTTAACCGGTTCTGAGCCCTGGTTAAATCATAAAAGAGTGACAAACATACAAATATTTTCTATACTAATATTATAAAGAGGCAGAGTTTGTTTGTTTGAACGCGCTAATCTCAGGAACTGTTAATCCGATTAGAAAAATTCTTTTTGCATTGGAAAGCCCGTTTATTGAGAAAGGCTATGTATCATCATGTTACTTACTACCCAAGGGAGCGGATCTGTAATCATAAATGTCAACAAATCGGGCAGACTTCCATACATTATTATTTATTACTAATAGCACAAATCCAAAGAGTTTTTTTTGTAGTTTTAGCGCGAACGAAGCAGCGGGTTCTGCTAGTCTATACTAATATTATAAAGAGGTAAAGTTTGTGAGTTTGTGACGTTGTAGGGGGGTAATCTCTGGATCTACAGAACCGATTTAGATAAAATTTGGTAAGAAGATAGTTTGAGACCCTGGGAAGGACAAAAGATACTTTTTTATCCCGGAAATCATCCCTTAAGGGGGTGAAAATGGGGATGAAAGTTTGTATGAGAAATCAATAATATAATAATATAATTTATTTCCTCAGGTGTTTATAGGTGAGAGTGTGACGTCACGAGTGTCTCTCCTGCGCCTGCGCGTCGACGACGGCAAATGGACGCACACCAAGAGCTCTGGTCTCTGTGTCACTACAGGCACTGGAAGTACTTCTTGGCATTACAGGTATTGTTATATGCTTTATTATTTAAAACTTAAGTTATGATCTGAAAGGGATGTCCACGTCCAGCAGTGGGAAGTGACAAAGAGAATAACTAGCCGTATTTGCTAGCCACAAGGCGTTATTTTTTTGTCCGTGTATATAAAAATATTATAAATGTGAAAGTTTGTGAGTATGGATGTTTGCTGCTCTTTCACGCCAGAACGGCTGAACGGATCTGGATGAATTTTGGCACAGAGATAGATTATAGTCTGGAATAACACATAAGCATTTTTATCTTGGAAAAATATACGGTTCCCGGGAGATACGTTTGTTTTTGTTTTTCTAGAGGCGAACCCAAGCCAAGCGAGTGTGAGCCGATAGTATTATTATATTAGTGTCTTTAGTCTATACTAGAGATGTAACGAATGTTCGATTTTTCACATTCGCGAATACTAATGCGAATGCGAATATACATAACTAATATTCGCGGATGCGAATGTTGACTTTCAAAACTTTTTACTTACAAAAATGTTAGACAGATTTGACATTTCGTGTCGGCCATGTTTAAACCGAACATAGCCGATACAGATTGAATGAACGAAGTTAGTCACATAAAGTTCATTCGAAAAGATTTATTGTGATTTGAGGTTAATTTAGTATTATTGCATTTGTCAAATTTAACTGATACCTATTCAAAAGTTAGAAAGTGATATAAAAATATGATTATCATTTCATATCCATCTATTTTATATATAATTTTTTAAATAAATTCGCCAAACATTTCTTGCGAATGCGAATGGCAAAAATGCGAATATTTGCGAATGCGAATGCTATATAACAATTCCTTTATGTATAGTTATCTAATAATTAATTAATGGCTTAATGGCAGCAAATATTTATGAAAATCATTGATATATAAAAACTCAGATTCAAAATTAGCGTCTCGAAAGTTTCCTCAACAAAGAGCGCACAATTCAAAATTGAATGGAATATCGTGTTTTCGATAAGTAAACATTTTAATTAATATGTTGTTGTAATGTATATTACAAAATATAACGAGTTTTTTTAATTTGTTTTCGTTTTGTCTTATTTAACTTAATGATTTATTTAAAAAAAAAATGTACCATGTAATTATATTTTCAAGTTTACAAAAATACTCAATTGATTGGTTTATTTTTGTTGTAAAAGGTCTTTAGACGTGACTGAGTCAAAGTCAGCTTTTTTTTTAATTTATTAAGAACACCAACAACATAACACACAAATACATTTCAAATTCATTCTTAATACACAAGTTCTAGTATGTTAGTCTCTTACCCATAGCACATTACCCATACCATACCCATACCCATATTACATACATGCACTGCTATGCTTTGACAAAAGAAGCTTTGATTAAAGCTTACTTGGATACCTGTTGACACGCTCAATGTTTGATTTGACAAAGTAGCTTTGACAAAACGCTTTGAAACGAAGTTCTCTTTGACAAAGTCTACTTTGATTGAACGCTGACGTCAAACTGCTCTTTGATTGCTCACGATAAAAGTATTAAAAAAAAAACAACTTTGTCAAAGCAGGCTTTGAGATAAGTCACTGTCCAAGTCCACTTTGATTAATGTCCACATCAAAGTGCGCTTTGATTGCTGGTTTACGTTAAAGTATTCATCAAAACTATTTTGTCAAAGTAGACTTTGATCGTGTGAACGCACGCGGCTTATGTCAATACGTTGGAAGAATAATTGTCGCAGAAGTGAGAGTCAAATTTATTATTAACTAGCGGCTCACCCTCGCTTCGCTTGGGTTCGTCGCTAGGTACGTTTTAAATCAATAGCCAGCGTTAGCCATATAATTTTTTTTTATTAATAATATTGACAAATATTGACATTAATATTTATACGATACTAACGTCACTCAATTGTTTTGCCTTCCCGGAACCTCTCCACTAACACTTAAACTTTATGGTATGGTATTAAAGTTCAAATTGACTTTTAAGTATTATTACGAATCTTTTATATGGGAGTATAGAAAAGTGTTGTTTTTAGCATTTTTCAGGCAATTTTTTAAATTTTTCTCTCCGTAAGAACCATCCTCGTACTTCAAAGAATATTCTAAAAAAAGAACTAGCGAAATCGGTTCAGCTGCTCTCGAGATTTGCGCTTACCAACATATTCCATATACCAATTATTATTTACAAAAATATATATTTATTATTAAAATTTTATAATAATTATTACTAATAAAAATGAATATTTATTACTGTGGGATGAATGTGCATATATTACGAACTTATTGTTGCCATGGTGACCGTTGTTATTGTCTGACAAACGATATATAACATTATATTCTTTCCGTATATGATATTCTATAATTATAATATGATTTTAATATGCATAATATGCTTTATTTAATTATGATTTGTTTTAATTTAATTGTGATATTTGCCAAAGAAGTTTTACTTCAACCGCGCGTAAAGGTTTCATGTACCTATTTTGTTTCAGTATAAACTGTCTAAGAACGCACTCTGTACTGGAACTGATGAAGATATTGGGAGAAGATTTCAATGTTAATATGGACACCAGTTTGGAGAAGGCACGAGAAGTAGCCGAGAGGTATAATCAGAAACTCATGTTTCCACCAGGTTAGTACTAAAAAGTGTACAAACAAACACTATTACAGATAACATATCCATTAGTGATGTAACGCATGTTCGATTTTTTACATCCGCGAATGCGAACGCGAATGTTACACCTCTCAAGTTCTATTATCACAAAAGAAATATCTTTTAATAATAATTTATAATTTCGAATTTGGACTTTTTAAAATGTAAGGAAGGATATGATTTGTTTTTATTTAGTTGTGAATTTTTTAATATTTTAATTAGACTAAAAATTACAAAAGAAAAAGTATTTCTAATTTTGTCGCCTACCTCAAGACTGTTCCATAATCATTTTATTATTCTAATATTACAAGTAAATAAAAAAAATATAAATCTTATCAGTTGTATTATCATTCCATATTCATTCATTCCATATATATATATATATATATATATATATATATATATATATATATATATATATATATATATATAAATTTCTTTTTGTTTGTCAAATACATTCGCCAAACATTCGCATTGTTTCTTGCAAATGCTGGAAATTTCACAAAGTTGAATTCGAATGTCAAAAAATATGCGAATATTCGCGAATACGAATGCGTTACATCACTAATATCCATGCCAATATTATAAATGCAACAGTAACTTTGTCTGTCTGTTACCTTTTCACGCTCAATTCGCTATACCGATTTAGATGAAATTTGTTGTGGAGATTTAATTTTTTAGTTGAATTAATGGACTAAAACAACCTTAACAATTCTTTATAAAAAAATAGTTCAATTTTGTACATCCAATTTTCTATATCCAGTTACTATCTTCTAGTTACTAAAAATATTACTTTATTCTTGTACTCACTACATTGTTATGTACCATTTATCTTGTGCGCAACGTGAATAATGTAAGCAGATTATATAAATGTCCAGAGGGGGATAAATATCCCAGTGTCCTGTAACAGGGGTTTTTACCTATCATAGGCACCAGCGACCCACAACCAAATTTTGTATCACCCAGCTTAAGCTAATCCAAGAATTTTGTTTGATATAAATATAAATATGTTGGGACATTAACACACAACACCATCTAGTTCCATGGTGAGCTACGGCCTACGAGGCTAGTGTTATGGATACCAGATAGTTGATACGCTACACATATGTGGGATTTGCAAGATGAGTATGTTTGAAATGATATTTTAAGTATAAAAGGAGACGTATGTTAGAATTTTAAGAATGGAATGAAAAAGATGAATAAGAGAAAAGAAGGATGTTGTGTCATAATGACGACACGACGATAACCTTGAACTATATATTATCTGATTTATAAAGAATAAATAGTAATAATTAGTGTACTATAAATGTTTTTATTGGTATCCCCATATCCTACACATATGTAACTTTAAATACATACATATTATATATATTGATGTGTGTACTAATTTGTATTTTGGTTTGTGGTGAGAAATAAAGAATTTTATTATTATCATTATTATTATCTCTATTTGACGCAGTGGTAGCTCAGTGGTGACGCGCTCGCTTGGGTAACTGAGTGATGCTTGTTCAAATCCCGGGTCTCGCACCTCTGATATTTTCATGTGCTAAGCATTTTTAACATGATTACAACTTGTCTTACGGCGAAGGAAGCATTGTGAGGAAACCTGCATGTCTGAGATAACCTAACAAGTTTTTGAAAGGCATGACGTGGTTCTGCCAACCCGTCCTGTCCAGTGTAGTGGACTATGGCCCGATCCCCCACGTATCTCATGAAGGAAGACCCGTGCCGCATATGGGGACGTTAAAAAAGGCTGAATACCTACCTACTTATCTCTCTTCCTGTACTATCCACAGACAGCGAGCAGTTAGCGTATTCAGTGCGCGAGTACATCACGTTCGAGGAGTGGCCGGCGCCGCGTGGTATGCGCGCGCGCGACCGCGCCTCCGCCGTGCGCGTCCGCAGCCACTGCACTGACGCCGGTATGTTGGATGAGTTTTTTTTTTAATTTTATTTTTGACTAGCGACTCACCCTCGCTTCGCTCGGGTTCGTCCCTAGCTTGATTCCCCATACAAGCTTTCGTCCCCATTTTCACCCTCTTAAGGGATGATTTCCGGGATAAACATCCTAGGTATCCTATGTCCTTCCCAGGGTCTCAAACTATCTTCTTACCATATTTCATCTAAATCGGTGCAGTAGATCCAAAGATTACCGTCACAAACTCACAAACTTTACCTCTTTATAATATTAGTATAGACTATGGCAGGTATAGGTATAGGTGCAACTGTATATACTGATATTGGTATGTAGAATTTATTTATTGTTATTTTGGCAAGTGTTTTTACAGACATTTGTACTGAGGCGTATCCGTTGGATATTTTTTTTTTATTGTGGCAGATGTATGTGCAGAAATACGTACTGATGGGTGGTATGTTAAGTATGTTTTTTTTTTATTTTTTTTTCATTATGGCAGCTCTGTGTATGGATCCATCAACCCGCACTTGTCCAAGAAGATCCTGTGCATATTAATAATATATTGTTTTTTTTTCCTAACAGGCTTAGTAGTGGACGGTAGTGTGTCTTTTCCTTTCAACGATGGAACTCAAGCTTTATTGGAGATTCATCCTGAAGATTCACTCATGACTGTACACATGGACGACTCGTTGCCGTATTAATATTTGAAATTGGAAATTAAAAAAAAAAATTACAAAGATTTTTTTAATGATGCTGATTTCAAGATAAATAGACACGTAACTTTTCCATCTTTGAAGGAGGAATGTTTCTTTGGATTTAAATAAAACTATCTTTGAGGTTTTTTCAATAAAAATATCGTTTTTATAAAGTTGGTCAAATATTCTGTTTATTACATAGTATTCACATCAAAATGGTTATAGTAAAATGTTTTGTATATCAATTGTATGAGAGTCGAATTTACGAAGTTCTATACAGAGAGAAGTTGTGTCGAAACTATATGTATATATTATTACACTAAAAATATATAAAAACGTCCTACATATTTAGTTCTATGAGCCATGAATAATATAATTCAGATTTTAGCGAATTTTAGAGCAATAATGGCATAACTTAAAACTTTTTATTTTAATAACTAAAAAAACACCTAAAATTTGTATTTAACAGAAACAAATATTATTAATTATATTTATTTCTTTTTGATTTTTTTTAAATTTATTAAATCAATTATTTTGTATACGTCATTAACATATATATTTGTAAAAAAATGTTTTTTGTCTATGTTATCGATTTATATGTTTTTTTTTACAAATTGGTTATACCTCAAGGACAGCGTCGTCATAAATTATAAGAAAATATTCTAATCTTTAAGTGCGAAATAATTACTTATAATTTTTTTATGTAAGACGATTTAGTTATTTGTTTAGTTTTCTATTATTGATATCAATCCATAAACGATTCACGTTCTTTGAATTGTCTTTATTTGAATTAATTTAAACTTATTGATTATTTAAACGTAAAATCTAGTATAGAAAAAGTAATTTTTAATGTTGTTATAGCAAATATAATTTGTACTTATATTTTAAAGTGTACTATTTATTTAAACTTAAGATTTTAATTGTAATATTCAAAATTGATTTTTTTTTGATAATAAATGTTACTTATTAAAGGGCTTAAAATGTAAAAAACATACATCAATTTTAATAATACAAATTTTGTAATGTAAAGGAATTGATACGTTCTTATTTTCCATCGTAAATTAAAAAAAAATGCTTTGCTGCATTTTTATTAGATAATGTTTCACAATATAAGTACAGATATATAAATATATAAAATTCCCGTGTCACGTTGTTGGTCCGCGATGACCTCCGAAACTACTTAACCGACCTTAAGTTATGTTTTTTAATGTGTGTTTTGTTCCAACTTAAAAGATAGGTTTTTATCCCGATTATTTCCTTTTTTTTAATGCAAATCTAACGATTTTCATATGTATGTCACAGCAACGCATGGCCGGGTTTGCTAGTTTATATATAAATGTATATATGTGTCTGTAGACTAAGACTGACTTTAGCTAAGAAATTTGCCTTATAAGCTTTTATATGTGATATAATTATATGTAAGTGTATTTTTTTCTATATATTTCTTATTAAAACTGATAGTGCAAAAGAGGCCTAACTAAAAAAAAGTCTTTTTCATATTAATTAATCCTTCCTCTGTTCTTCGCACACTGTTCTTATCTTCTAGTTAAACTAAACACGTTAGTCACTTAATTTTGTATTATATAATTGTTTGTAGGGCATGTCTGTAACAAGTATATAATGCCTTTGAGACCTCTAACACCTTAGTCTCTTCCGTGACCATGATTGCTGTAAAGCATTCGAATTAATTTATAATTTTTATTATATTTTTAAGGCTATATGACATGACGACCACAAAAGATAATAGTAGAGGCATGATAAAAGAATCAAATAACTATATCTATGTATGAACCAGCAATCCGTGATATTGAAATTTGAAATTGTGACGTTTTTTTATTAAGCCATTTTTGCACTGACTTATTTATTTTCAAAATTACTGATTTTTCCACTTACTATATGTTTGCAATTTAAAATGATGGTGTAAATGGCATAGTTGCGGGAAACTAACTACTGGCATCTCATAAGCATTATCTCGCTTAATGAGGTCTAACCGCGTTTGAAATCGCCGCGAGAGGCGCTAGTGTAGAGTGAGGTCTCTAGAAATGTCAAATGACCCTAAATGCGTACTGTTTGCGAACTTTTCCTCGCGAATCTTTTCCGAGCCATTCCTGATTAATTATGGCAGACACGGTAAGGAACAACAATTGTTACTGCTTTAAAAGGAAAGCTAAGAAAAAGTCAATATTTTATCTAGTTGGTTATTTAATATTAATTACTTGAAAAAGAATCCTGATGAACTGGAGCCTGACAATTGTTATTAATATCATATTATATTTGTAGCCCTGCCGCACTAACAAATAGTTTTCAACGACAGCGTTTAGAACCTCACTCGCCAGTGGCGCCAACTGGTGCCGCCAGAAATGATAGTCCTCCTTGTAACAAACGCGCCACGCTTACTTGTTTGTCTATGTCGTTTGTTTTTTATCTTCCATGCATCGGTCAAAAAAGTACTAGATACACGATAGAATCAGTGACAAAAAATGGCTTCAACAATAGGACGCTCATTTGAGGGCCTCTTTTGTTGTGTAAACAACTTTAAGCATTGCATTTAAGGTTCAATATATATTGTTGTATATTTATTTCAACTAGAATAATTACTTAAACACAATTGGTGATAGTTTTAAGAGAATTTTTGCATGGGATTGTGTATCTATAGTCCATTCGCGTTAAAAGTGTTTTTTTTTATGGTATTCAGTGACAAACGAGCAGACAGCCCACCTGGTGGAAAGCGGTACCTGTCGCCCGTAACTCGAATTCTATCTTCTCGAAAAAATCTATTTAATTATCTCACTTATCTCAAATCTCGATTTGAGATCATAATGACTTTATTTTGATTTGAGATAATTATCTCAAATCAAAATTAAGTTATTAATAATAATATATGTAAGTATGGCTTCAACTGGTCATTGTGAACTTGAATTTTATAATATGAACCATAAGTGGCTAGGTCGGTGGACAACGATGACTCAATATTTTCTTAACGCGAATGGACTATAGTACTTTTTTGATCGATGCCTCCGTGGGTTTATTCCATTAATTCTGAGCTAACTTTTATAATAAAATATCTGTTTATATATCAAAATATGAATTCTTCTTTGTCAACATGAAACATATATATTTTGGACAATACTTTGTTTAAAGTTAAATTATGTATCTTTTATGTATTTTAATATGATATGTATGTTGTAATAAAAGACATTTTAATATCGTTTTTTCTTGTTTTACTTTATAAAATACTAGCATTGCCCGCGGCTCCGCCTGCGTTCAGATGACCAAAATCCAAATTCATAGGTTTTACATATTAGTATACTCTTTCAGATTTTGTATATTTTTTTCATTTTCATTCATTTACATTTTGCTGCGGTAATAACCAGCTATCACCATACCAAATTTTAAATACTGGATATTTTCGGAATTTACGAAATTTAATAACGTATTAAGTTATTCGTTAATTACGTTAACATTTATTTCTTGACAGTAATTCTAATCATAGATAAAAAATAAAATTTTACTAATTATCGTATCTGGCTATATTAATCTTAATATATATAATTCTTCTGTACGCGTGTTTGTCACCTCCTGAACAGCTGGACCGATTTGGATGAAATTTTGTGTATTCCTGGGTAGTTTCAAAACACAATTCGACCCGGTAGGTGGCGCTGCAGTCGGTGTGTCAATTATTATTAGTTATAACATATAGCCAAAGAATTTGTTTTTGTAGTAGTTTGAACGCGAGCGAAGCCGCGGGTTCTGCTAGTATATATATAAATACATTCACCTCATTGAGTTTTTTTGTTGAAACTTATAAACATATGTATAATATATATATATATATATACTATATACTACTTATTATATATATATATATATATATATATATATATATATATGTATAATAAGTTACAAAGTCTGTCAAAAATATTTATGACAATATATATGTTAAAATAAAGGAAATATAAAAAAAAAACAAATTATTTTTCAAGTCAGTATATTTGTTAAAAATTCGTACACGTTTTACATTAAGCTTAAAGTTTAACGTTTCGATATGGTTCCAGAACCCCATTGCAACTAAAAAAAAACTAATTAGTCAACTAAAATCAATGGAGTAATCAAACGCGTATCAAAGTTCGTTGTTACATCATTATAGGAAGCAAAAGCGATTAAAAAGCTAAAATATAATAGCACCTATATCGGATGGATTACTGGCTACTAAATTTAATAATTAAATATGGCATCCACGTGATGAAATTAAAATAAACACAGATTACATATTAAATGATAAATGAGCACAGACTATATAAATTGTAAATGAAATACAAAATATTTTATATAATCTATAAAATTTTGATTTAATTTTTTTTATTTATCATTCATTTTATTATAATCTGTGATCAATAAACCGGTTATGTTTACATAGTACAAGAGGGATCTCTAAGGGCTTACCCAAGATAGATTGTTCCACCACCGAAAAAAAGACTCACGGAAACTTTTTAAAGTTATATTTTAATTAAAAATCTCATTTAAATAAAATTTAATAAGATTTGTGTCGAGTCAATTCAATTATAATTGTTAATTTCGAAAAGTTTCCTTCATTTTTAGCGAAAGAAATGAAATTTAGTAGGTTAGTTCGCGCGAGTCTTAGTTAAAAATAAAACTAAAATATAATCACATATTGATAAGCGAATAGTGCATTAAGCAATGCTATTCTTTCTATCAGTTGTAATTTATTACGTAATGTAAGGCAACCTTCGATAAAACTATAGTAAAATTATGAGGACGGATACATAATGCACGAATTATCACAATTATTAAAAAAAGTGGACTAAAAATTAAAATTATTGGTAAAACCTATGACTGAATTGTTGCGATCTCTGAACACAACATTCTATAAAAAATACTATAGATTATAAATACATATTATATGTCATTGGGGAATGTTTTTTTAAAATACTCTCATCCGATCACGCACAAACCGACACGCCTATGTACACTCTGAACAATCAAAATTTTTTTGTAATTCGTTGTTTCCCAATCTCACCTAAATGGCGAAATAGTTTACTTTACCCTATCTTCTGTCCTTGTCTAACTAGTACTAAATATCGTGTGTCCTTTTCACACGTAGGGTAAATACTCCTGTTACTGGTAGTTTTTAACTTGTATGTGAGTATCGAGTGTCAGTATAGGGACCACTGTAGAGGGAGCTACCAGTTCTTGAATAGGTTTTAGGGTTCCTCCTTCTCGCTAGGATGAAGGCGATAGCAGCAATGACGCATATCATCAAAATGACGCCCGCGATGCAAACACCGATTGCGAAATTTCGATTTGAGATGCAGATTTCGTCTTCATTCTGTAATAAGTTTAAAGAAAAATTAAATTCATCTGAAACTTTTACCAAAACTGAGTTTGGATTTATTCTTTTATTTATGGTTTTTTTTAATAATACGTGATATTTTTTCTACAACACGTGACAGTTGCATACAAACTGCGCATATCAACATCGATTTTAGAGCATGTAATATCCTACTAATATTATCAATGCGAGAGTTAGTGAGGATTTATGGATGTCTGGATATATGTACTATAGATGTTTGTTACTTTTTCACGCAAAAACTATTGAATGAACTTTAATGAAACTTTACGATCATATAGCTCATACATCAGAATAACACATAGGCTACTTTTTATCCCGGAGAAATGTACGATTCCCGTGGGATAGATTTGTTTTTATTTTTCTAGAGTGAAAAATAATTTTACGTTTGAATTTAAGTGACTTAATACGACAGTTGGACAGATTTTAATGAAGCTTGGCATACAAACAGACCATGCCGTTTTCTTGCCATTAAAATCATCAAAAGTAAAAAACAATACACCAAAAATAAGTAAAATAACTGAATTAACAAACCTTAACGCTAGTAACTTCATCGTTTTCTAGCGAATCCGCCTCATTCACGAACAGGCCAGAGAACACCATTACAGTGGCGGGAGAGCCTTCATCTGATTGACGACGCACGCGGTTCTTCTTATGGGAACATGGCTCCTGGAATTTATTGTTATTTACATTTTATTTATTTATTTTAAGAAAAAAAATATTACATATTTCGTTGGTAGACAATTGGTTTTATATGTACATATATAGTCTAATAATTAAGCTTAGATATTCCTAGTAATTTGAAGTCTAAGTTGTTTTTAGTAGCACTAATATAATATAATGTAATAATTATAATTCGTTCTTATTATAATAGTAATTCCCGCGGCTTCGCCCGCATTTAAATTTTCGTTCGCTACCAAACTTCACAGGATCACTCGTTTGAATAATCTGAAAATTGACTGAAAATTTCATCAAAATCGTTTCAACTGATTTAAGAGTCCATAGGGAACATACATATATACATCGTTTGTTATATATAGAGAATTGCAATACCTATGAGGGACATATTATGAGTCTAAACTTGAACGATTTATAGTAGCCACTAGCACTGCCCGCGGCTCCACCCGCGTTCAGATGACGAAAAACCAAATTCTTAGGTTTTTCATATTAATATAGTCTTATACTGCAGTTTATGTATTTTTTCTCAGAAATGTGATATTTTCCCGCGGTAAAAAGTATCCTATATGTTGACCCGGATAACCAGCTATCACCATACCAAATTTCATCAAAATCCCTTCCAATGGTTTTACCGTGATGCGATAACAGACAGACAGACAAAAATTCTAAAAACTATCAATTCGGCCTCTGTATCGATAATAATGTTTATTTCAATAAGATTTTCCAAAAATTATTTAATGTACAGATTCGGCTTAGTTACAATTTTATTATATGAGTCCAACTATCCACCTCCAGTGGTTTCATCATCATTCGGCTCGGCATTCGATAGTAAAAAAAAAAAATTAAAAAATTTGTATTATCTGTATCCGTCTTTTACATACTTATTACCATTCAAACACGACAATTTTAAGAGACGTAACACCTAGTTTTAAAGCTTCTACTGAAGACAGGAGAGGTGGCTCGTTTTCTGCCTAAAGAATCGGCATTGCCATTCAGTAGAGGAATGCGGCTAGCATTCTTGCCACAATTCCACGCGGACATGACTTGTACAGTAATAACTAAGTGTACATTTGTTTTATATATAGAATGAAGTATACATATAAGTTCCTTTATTTTCAAACTAATACAACAGTTAGAAATAGGATAATTTCAACTTCTAAGATTTGATTATGTAGTTGCTAATGAGATTGATAAAAAAATTGATTATAAAAATAAAAACCGCCACTGCGTAAAAAACCAACTAAAAGGTAGGGGACAAGTTGATATAGGAATATAGTATTGAGTCGAAGATACTTCGTCGCCTTAGTGCTTATTTGTTTAATGTAGTAATACTTGTTATTCTTAACACTAGAAAGTTTTTTCCTATTTTAAAAACAAAGCCTCGTTTTTAAGATATATAGAAAAAAAATACATGTTTTCCGTTTTTTTTTAAGGTAAATATGTGTATTTTATACCAATAGAATGCACATTTAAAAGTCTATAATGCTGTATTAAAAACTCTTTCGGTATATTGGTCGTACGAGATATAAGTACTGAGACGATGACTGATTTGTTTCGCCGCTATCGGATAAAAATAAAAAAAAATTAAAAAGATTCTTACGCAATCTGTAGGATGGTTCAAGTCACACAGCTTCACTTCGCAAGTATAGTACACGCTGGCAGTGTAAGGGAATTTATGGGCAGGGAAAGAGACACGGGCTTCTTGCTTCTCTTTTGAGTACTGGAAGAGACCCATTATCTCGCCATCGAGAGGACATCTAGGAATGTAAAAAATATTAGCTATTTTTTTTTAATGGCTTATAATTGCGTTAACAGACGCAATCCATTCTGCCCGTGTCACGTTTTGTGAGGAAGACACGAATGTGATTGAGCGGTAATTTTGAAATTTGGTAACTTTATTAAATATTAGCTATTATAATCTATTAGTTGGAGTGACATAGGCTTTATATTAGCATTATCTGTTTTGCTAAATGTCACTAGATAAGTCCGAATAGTGATGTACTTGTACCTAATAAAAGTGTGTAATTTACTTTTATAGTATCTAATTTGTAGACAAATGAATTGGTGGATTTTGTTATAAATTATTACAATTATTAGTGATGCTAACATTTAAGAAAGTTGTTTTCAGTGTAATAGGATAAAAAATACATGTAACAAAATATTGATATAATAATTATAATATTCGAAGTCAGATTGCTCATTTATTAAATTATCATTTACTAAATTGTCCTCACTCGAACAACGAAAGGTACAGTGCACTTGTGCTTTCGTGCACATTTGTGCACTATAAAATAATTTGCACTCTTTCAGGCCCGTCATATAACACTTTTTCTCCTTCCATAGGTTGACTGGAAGAGATCTCTTCTAGAGATAAGTCCACCTTTGCTTGTATTATCTATGTTACATTGTTAATATGCAATAAAGAATATATGTATATATTTCCTGCACAGATGTTTAGCTTTGGTCAGATTAGGCCAAGAGTCACTATTATTATTACGATAATGTTTACAGTCATCTCTCGGACTATATTCACTTACCCATCATCAGCTATCAAACTTTGTTCAGCCCAACCCAAGCCATCTCGCACAGAACATTCGGAGACGAGAAGGCCGTACTGCCTCTGTTTCTCTAACGACACTACGAGGGTCAGGGTGTCACCGATACGCACGTTTGATGCCACCTGAAATAGTTGCATACTTTATTTACAAATTCGATAGTTTAAGTATTTATTCCTTAAATACGTATGATTGGAAATGAAAATGGATGTAACAAATATTCGCTATCGCATTCGCGAATATTCGCATTTTATGACGTTTGCATTCGCATTCGTATTCGCAAGAAACGATGCAAATGTTTGGCTAATGTATTTGAGAAACAAAAAGCATATTATATGTATACTTATGGAATGGATGAATATGAAATGATAATACGATTGATATTATTTATATATATATTTTTTAATTTTAATTACCATTTTTATTTCAAATAAAAGAAATAAAATTCTAAATTATATTTGAACCAAAATTAAACTTCTAATATCCAAAATTCATTGCCTTCATTTAATTATATATTTTTCCATTCCACTATATATTTATTTCTAACAATGAAATATAATGAAATATAAACTCAAAAAAAAAATGAATACTTAACTACACTATTTGTAAATAAAATTAAGTTAAGTCAACATTCGCATTATGATATTCGCATTCGCATACGCATTCGCGAATGTGCAAAATCGACCATTCGTTACATCACTATAAAATATGTTTTTAGATGTCGAGTTGCCTATCTACATACTACTTCGACGTATAAAATATAATCAATAAAATAAAAAAAAGAATGTTGCCATTTGAATATTTCGATATTATTCATGCCTAATCATAAAAAAATATTTAATATACCCACAGTTGAATTGAAAACCAAAACAGGTAGGTAAGGAGTTTGATTCCCGTAACAACAAAAGTAAAATTATATAGGTTGTTGTGATCATTCGACGTAATCGAGGTCACTTAGTACAACTATTGTTAATTATTGCTGATAAAAGATTTAGATAACAATTATTCCTAACAGTTTTAAAAATCTGACAACAATCTTAAAACTTCTTACTATAAAGTTAAAGTTTTTTATTACACCATTGTTTAGATTTTACCTCTTTATCTTCAGGGTCTCCCTTATAAATCTTCATAGTGACAGACGGTAACAGCCCTGAGTCTTCATCGTATTCGTCGCTGTAACACAATATACATATATAACTAGGTTTATATGTAGTCGTAAAAATATCAGAATATGTAAACCTATATACATAAACAAAATTAAAGTGTCTGTTTGTTATGTCAAAATAACAGCATTTTACTAAATGTATATTAAATTATATACATATGGTACTTATAAAAAAACACAATTTTAGTCGGTCAGTCTGTTTATTCCATCTAATCTCCGAAATGGCTGAGCTGATTTTGACTGAATTTTCAATAGCAGATAGCTGATATTGTAAGGTGTAACTTAACTTTTAGTTTAGAAAAAAGAATTAGGGTTCCGCTTAAAACCGCACCAGGGCTAAGCGAGGTAAGTCACAAGTATAAAAATATGTAGAGAAATAAAAGTTTATGTTATCAGTATCACTAAGAACAGTAGTATGGTATAATTTTAAAGTCAAAAAAGTATTTCTGAATTTTTGAAGTACGTTTGGTCTTAAAGTTTTTGATGAAAATACATGGATACATAAAGTTTCATGAGGATGTCTAGCGATGTAACGAATATTCGCATTTGCATATATTTGCAAACATTCGCATGCCTCTTGGCATTCGCATTCACATCCGCATCCGCAAAATATTCGCATATGTCAGAAAAAATGATAATGAAATTAGATAAATAGAACAAAAATATTACTTTATTATAATCTTAATTAGAAAATCAACTTAACCTAACCTCACAATTGAATTAAGTTAAGTTTTAATTAAGTCACAATTAAAGGAATCACTAATGATACAGAAACATTGGCTTAATTCTTTAGTTAGTTCTTCAAGAGGTCTAAGTATAAGATAAGTTTTTCTATCATCATCCACTTTTCGAAAGTCAGTTGGGGAATTTTATTATTTGTCATTGCATAAAGACATAAAGACTCTTTGATGTTCAATATTTTGAATAAAATACGCTCCAATATATAAAAGGAGCTATTCCACCTACTAGCACACTCTTGTATAATTTTGAGGGACGTTTGATTAAGTTTTTTCTGTAAAGTTTCAAGTTCTTTTTGAGCTGTAATTGAATAATGAAAGTATGTTGCTATCTTTTTGCATTTTGTTATGGTGTTTAAGATAGTTTCTTAACCTTTCAGTCCTTCTTTTAAACCATTTTGAATCTTATGTGAATCACAGTCAATGTGTTGAACATTTTATAAGGAAACGTCTTTTTTTATATTTGCGCCTGCAACCCGAACTACAAATTTAACTTTTTCTTTACATATTTCTCATAACGACAAGATGCCTTTAAGTTTATTAGCAATATTTTCTCCAGTCTGGCTGTTCTAATTGAACACCTCTGTCTTTAACACTATCATTTTTATTTCTAATTGTTCTTTATCCCCATGACAAGTTAAACTGAGTAGCGATACTCCAGAACAAGAATCGAACCAGATGTCATTAGTAAATGATATTCTTTCATGGACTTCACAAATTTGAGTATTTTTCTGGCTTACTTTACCATATAGTTTACCGCAGATAAATGAAGTATAATACTGACAAGACTTTAAATTATAGGATGAACACAGGTGCTTCATAAGGCTTACAAAGTCAAAATATTCCATATGGCACACTAAATGGCAAGTCTGCAATCGCAATCATTTCACATATCATATCATCAGCCACCAAACGATTTGTTATCCCACTGTTTCGTTTTTTTGATACAATCTTGAAGCGACATCTGTTTAATATCAGATTTAATACTTAGGTGGGAAGACGATACCAATGCAAATGTTGCATTCTGTTATCTCTTTTCGCACTTTTATAATTCAGAAAACTCAGTTTTATGCATGGACTTTATATGATTTCTAATAGACGTTTTAGTTCTTCCTCTTCTCGAATATTCCTTGTTACTTGTAAAATAAGTCCATATATTACTAGAATTTGAATTTCTACAAAACTGAATACATTAATCACACGATACTCTGTACAGACTGTAATACAAGTCTCCACTCTCCAAAACAATACTTACATCTGTCATCTGTGGTTTAATTTTGATTTTATGTACTGACTCAATGCTTACGCCTCAGGTTTTAGTTTACATTAATTATATAGGAGCCCTGCGTTGTTTTGCTATCATCAGGTGGACCATGAAATGTACGCTTAGGAATCGATTTACTTGTAAAAGAATATCTATGTTGGGTCGGATCGGCATACTTTACCATTAATGAGAAACTCTATTTAGTATTAAAAAAAAACAAATGCAAATAAAGATTTACGCGTCAGAAAAACTGAATATTCGCATTCGCATTCGCTAATATCGGTGGCAGATATTCGCATTCGCATTTGCATTCGCGAATGCTTAAAAATTGACATTCGTTACATCACTAAGGAAGATATAAAAATTAGTTCCTAAAAGTGTCAATAGATAGCGTGATCTGGATGATAATGTTATTGATCTTTTAAATAATAAAATATATAGGTAATAGGATCTAAATGTGCTTATGTTAATTATAAAAAAATCCATGAGCAGAAAAAAAAAGCAAACAAAAGAAATATGAACTAATGGATTAAAAAAATCTAACCATAATTTTAAAAGCTAAAACTTTCTACTCTGTAATAATAGATGGCGCTGATTATAATATTAGCTATGCACCCCGGTTATATATACATAGTTTATAGTCACTGTTCATAAATAAATAATTATTTTAAAGTTTTTCACTTAGCTACATTTCACATATTTTTTTATAAAACAAAATAACTCGGATAAGCGCCATCTATTATCTATTCATGTAAAATAATAAAGGCCATCCAGTCCCTGAAATGAATCAGGGATTAGACATCCCTTACACACAATAGTATTTTTCGTATCGTATAACCTTCATAATGTGTCATAATATACAACAAATTACCTGTTATAATTGCTATTGCTAGTTAATCTGTCTGCATGAGGCCTATGGAGGTGGTACAGGTTCAGGTCTCGACGTCTGTACCGACACCGTACGTGGTAGCCACGCCCTTGACCCGTCACTAGCCGCAAGTGCGGCTGGACTATTATATTGTTGTAGTACTCGACTGTGCCGTCCTCCTGAAAAAATGGACAAATGATTGTTAACCAACTTTAAAAGAGATAAAGTTATTTGTGGACTTGAGACCATACAAAAATTCTGCAGAAAAAAACTGATTCTCTCTTATTCATAATTTAGTATTCATTTTTATCTTAATTATTATTAGTTAGTACTTATTTTATGACATTTTTTTTAACTTTTCAACAAAATTTTCCGACCCGGGACACAAACCTAGGAACTCACGTATGAGCTAACCGTTTGATCACGCAGCTAGTTAAATTAACATATAAAGCGATAAGAAACCATAATAGTCGTGAGTATACCTTAGCAATGTCATGTTAATTAAATCATCTACAAAAATATCGTGTCAACGGTGTTATTGTATGTATTGGCCTTGTTGGTCTAGTGGCTAGTATTTTCTTCTGCAGATACGGAAATCCTGGGTTCGAGTCTCAAGTCGGGTCAAGCTTAATTCTATACAGTCACACTCTTAGTTTGGAAGGAAAAAATATGACCCCGTAATTGGAGCTAAAGTTCCGCCATTTTGGTTTTTAATAATTTCAATATACCTATCCTATTACATTATTATTTGAATCCTCATTATCGAGACTAATCTTACAACATACAATTCTAGTAGTTATAATTAATACATTTTATTTATATTTTAAGTAAGTTATAATTAATACATTTTATATTTCGAAAAATGTAGAATAACGTCTTCATAATCTGTTGTAAATTTTTTTGACACTGAACATTTTCATTTTAAATAGGTATTAGTTAACGGGCGCCATTTTAGGATTTCTTCGAAATTAAAATGGCGGCAATACTATAAAGATTCTAAGCCACTTCTAAATAATCAACAAATGATCAATGGACGTAACAAGGAATGACGTCACTTCCAGTCTTTATCGGAAGGAAAAGGATGTGATATGTTGTGAATAATAATATATTACAATGCCAATATAATCTATGATAATAGAAATAAAGGCAGTGGTAGCCCAGTGGTAGCGTGCTCGCTTGAGAAACCGAGGGAAACGGGTTCAAATCTCGGGTCTCGCACCTCTGATAAATTCATGTCCGGATCATTTCTAATATGAATACCACTTGTCTTACGGTGAAGGAAAACATCGTGAGCAAACCTGCATGACTGAGACCTAGCAAGTTTTTGAAAGACATACTCAGCCCGTCCGGACTTGTCCTACGTGGCGGACCATGGCCTGATTGCCTCGTATTGAAAGGATACCCGTATCTAGCAGTGGGACGTTAAAAATGGCTGAATAGACACCCGTTTCTCGGCTCCTACATATAAATTATTATATTTTTTTCTATAAAAAGTAGGTATTCTACACATTAAAGACATATTTGTAATTGATTTATTTTTTCAAGTGTAATTTTCTGCTTTTATATAACAATAAATTGAACACTGAAAATTTAAATATTTTATTGACGTACCGACCTAAACAAAACTGTGTGGAACAACTTTTATAAAACTCATTTATCGTATTGTATGAACATTTCATTTAAAATCATAACATACATATTTTAATGGAACAAAATTAAAAAAAAATGTGCATCGAACTACCAACGTCATCATCGTACCTTCTTTGTGTGTCGAACTTCATATCCGTTAGACTTTAAATATTAGGGTGCTTTTTGAGCGTGTTTCCGGCTGTCCACTGCAGATGTTTTAAACAGGCGTACGAAAAGGATGGCGTTTTTATGAGCTTATAATATGCACCCATATCTATTGTCTATATATGTATTGTAGTACAAAACTTTCTTAAAAATTAAACTCTTTTTTTTATTTGTGAGTATCGAAAAGTAAGAAACCGTAGGTGTTCAAAAATCGTCCTATATGTTTCATATTTAATCTGGCGACTCACCCATGCTTCGCTCGGGTTCGTCCCTAGGAACGTTTTAACGGTTAGTATTGAATAGATAGACTATATATAACAAGATATATGGCCAATAGCCTTCCTCAATAAACGGGTTATCTGATGCGAAAAGAATTTTTCAATTTAGTAGTTCCTGAGCTTAGCGCGTTCAAACAAACCCTGCTTCTTTATAATATTAGTATAGATTAAATTAGCGACTTTCGGTAGCCTATATGTTACTACAGGTCATAGTCTATGATATATCTGTTTATAAAATATCATCCAAATCCGTCCAGCAGTTTCAACGAGCGTGAAGGAGGCGTAACAAAAACACACACATACATTTTTGCATTTATAATGATAGTACGATAAGATTTAAATAAATTCTTTCAAATAAACAGTCCCTTGAAAATTAAAAAATGTATTAGCCTTTTTTTTCGTTAATTACTCTTAAAATTCTTCTATGGACCTGATTTTGAATTCTACAGTGAGTTAATTTAAGCAAATAAGAAGTATTAAAATCACTCAATAACAAGACTAAATTATAATTATTATAGACTAGCATTGCCCGCGGCTCCGCCCGCGTTCAGGTTACCAAAAACCAAATTTTTAGGTTTTACATATTAGTATACTCTTACAATGCAGTTTTTGTATTATTTCTCAGCAATGAGATATTTTCTCGCGGTAAAAAGTATCCTATATGTTGACCCGGATAACCAGCTATCACCATACCAAATTTCATGTAAATCCATCCAGTGTTTTTTCCGTGATGCGGTAACAGACAGACAGACAGATAAACAAAAATTCTAAAAACTATAGATTCGGCCTCTGTATCGATAATAATGTGTATTTCAATAAGATTTTCCAAAAAATATTTAATGTACAGATTCGGCTTAGTTACAATTTAATTATATGTATAGAAGACTTTCGTCGAAGACCTTAGTGTCATTCTTCGAAAAAAAACCAGTTGTATTTTAAAAATGTCAACATTTAAATAAAAGTAAAACGTAAGGCGTAGCCTGTTAATATTCATAAGAGGTCCTCACCACCTACATACGACAAGGCCAACAAAAGGTCGCTTGCTTTAAAGATTTACTCACCAAAAACAGCTTATATCAAAGAAATTATTATTAAATCCATATTAATATCTAAATGTGAAATTGATAGTTTCTGTTTGCTTTATTTTTTTACTGGCGACTCACTCGTCCCTAGGTTGCTATCCCATACAAACTTTCATCCCCATTTTCACCCTCTTAAGGGATGGTTTTCGGGATAAAAACTATCCTATGTCCATTCCAGGATCTCAAACTATCTTCTTACCAAATTTCATCTAAATCAGTTTAAAAGTTACGGAGTTTATGCGGTACAAACTAGCAAACAAAAAATCATTCCTCTTTATAATATTAAGTATAGATAAAGAATTATTAAGGATATTATATAAAGTACTTGTATAAAGATTAAAATATGATATTTATGTCTTTGTAATGAAAATTAAATTAGAATAATACTTAGATTTTAATTAAAAAAGTATGTACACCAACTTTAAAAACACATAAAACAAATTTTTACTGACTCCGGAGTGAATTTTCTATTGAAATTTATATCTTTCGTGTGAATTTTCTATTGAATTTTTTTTTTCTATATTAGAATTGTGTACTATTGTGTAACACACGAAATATTCAACCGAATAGAATACCTCGTACTTTTTGGAGTCGGACCAATAAACGCCTAATATTATTTATTACTGGCCATCGTAAAATGGGTCGAGGGGTTTCAATATTATAACCCGTTTTATCAATTAAGCTTTCTCCAAACACATTGGCCTTAGCCGATAAAACTTCAAGTATAAATTTCAAATTTAATGTACACCTTTGATCCTGTTATAATTTATAACTAATACTAGCGACTCACGTTTTAACGTTTAGTATAGATTTCTCAGAGATGAGATATTTTCTCGCAGTAAAAAGTATCCTATATGTTGACTCGGATAGCGAGTTATCATTATACCAAACATCAAAATCTGTCCAGTGGTTTTTACGAAGCGGTCACAGACAGATAGAGACAAATAAACAGACAGAAAGACAGACAAACATTCTTAAACTATAGATTCAGCCTGTATGCCTATGCAAAACAAAATGTACAGATTCGACTCAGACTTTTATTATATGTATAGAGTAGTAGTAGAGATCAAGAGAGATAGCATGTTTATGATCCCAGGATGTAACACATCATGCAAAATTTTATCGGAATCTGTTCAGCGGATTTCATTAAATGCACACAGATATACAAATAAATAGGCTTACATGTAAAAATACAAAGTAATAGGTTTACGGACAAACAGACAAAAATTCAATAAGTATTGGTTTGGGGTCTGTATATGTAACGGTCATTGTTTTAAAAAATGGTACACTTCATGATTTAGCTTTGTTATTACTTATTATAAATCTATACTAATATAATAAACTAGCATTGCCCGCGGCTTCGCCCGCGTTCATATGACCAAAACCAAATTCTTAGGTTTTATATATTAGTATACTCGTATTAGTATATTAGTTGTTCCGGATAACCAGCTATTACCATACCAAATTTGTTCAACATCCCTCCAGTGATTTTTCTGTGATGCGGTCACAGACAGACAGACAGACAGACAAAAATTGTAAAAACTATAGATTCGGACTCTGTATCGATAATAATGTCTATTTCAATTAGATTTTTCAAAAATATTTAATGTACAGATTCGACTTTGTTACAATTTTATTATATGTATAGATGTGAAAATTTGGGAGCGGATGTTTGATACTCTTTCATGCCAGAACTGCTGAACGGATCTTGATGAAAGTTGGCACAGAGATAGATTATAGTCTGGAATAGTACACAGGCTACTTTTTATTCCGGAAAAATATACGGTTCCCGAGGGATAGAACGAAGCGAGGTGAGCCGCTAGTAAGGTTATAAGTTATACGTAGATGGCCCAGATTGGGTCATCACGACTACGTTTTATAGGATTTTAAAATAAATCTTTTCGGATTTTTTCGCGGATTTATTTTGATTTTTGGTTCCTGACGATTCGAATGCTTTACAACAATCATGATCACGGGAGAGTCAGAAGATTTTTTTGAATACTTTTAATGAGTCTTTCCTGTATT